TTTGTGTGTGTCACTGTGTGTGTGTCACTGTGTGTGTGTGTGTCGCTGTGTGTGTGTGTCACTGTGTGTGGTGTCACTTGTGCACTGTGGTGTGTCACTGTGTGTGTGTCACTGTGTGTGTGTGTCACTGGTGTGTGGTGTCGCTGTGTGTGTGTGTCACTGTGTGTGTGTCACTGTTTGTGGTGGTCGCTGTGTGTTTGTGTCCTGTGTTGTGTGTCACTGTGTGTGTCACCCTGTGTGTGTCACTGTGTGTGGTGTCACTGTGTGTGTGTGTCACTGTGTGTGTGTCACTGTGTGTGTGTGTCACTGTGTGTGTCACTGTTGTGTGTGTGTCACTGTGTGTGTCACTGGTGTGTGTCACTGGTGTGTGGTGTGTCACTGTGGTGTGTCACTGTGTGTCACTGTGTGGTGTGTGTCCTGTGTGTGTGTGTCACTGTGTGTGTGTCACTGTGTGTCACCCCTGTGTGGGTCACTGTTGGTGTGTCACTGTGTGTGTGTCACTGTGTGTGTGTGTCACTGTGGTGTGTGTGTCACTGTGTGTGTCACCCTGTGTGTGTGTGTGTGTGCCGCTGACTAGTGGACAACGACCCGCACGTAGTGGTCGAGCTGCCGGGGCAGCAGCAGAAGATTTGCTTCAACATCGACGAGGAGCCGGGCACCATCGTCAACCTCATCGACGACCCCCCCAACGGTGACCCCCCCCCCCTCACTGCGTGGTGGTGGTGGTGGCACTGTGTGTGGTGGTGGTGGTGGTGGTGAAGTTGGCACTACGCGTGTGTGGTGGTGGTGGTGGCACTGTGTGGTGGTGGGTGGTGGTGAAGTTGGCACTGCGTGTGTGTGGTGGTGGTGGTGAAGTTGGCACTGCGTGTGTGGTGGTGGTGGTGGCAATGCGCGTGTGTGACGTCGGCACCACGTGTGTGTGACGTCGTCGGCACCACGTGATATCGGCACTGCGCTCCGCGTGCGTGTCGCGTGCCAGGTCTGGCGGTGGACGCGGAGCTGGTGGCGACGACGCGTGCCGGCATCAGCTCGCACGAAGCCGCTGGCCACCTACTTTGGGCGCGTGGGGGTCCGCGTGGAGGGGGCGGAGGCCGCCACGGGGGTCACCACGGGGGTCACCACGGGGGTCGCCGTGCGGGTGGAGGTCACCACGGAGTTCGTGCGGCTCACGGACGCCGCGGGATCCACGACGCTGCCCTGGGGCGGGAACGTCACGCTCGAGAGGGCCGGGTGCGCTGAGCGTGTGTGTCCGAGCGTGTGTGTGTACGTGTGTGTGCGTGTGTGTGTGCGTGTACGTGTGTGTGCGTGTGCGTGTGCGTGTGTGTGTACGTGTGTGTGTGCGTGTGTACGAGTGTGTGTATGTGTGTGTGACTGGCAAAACAACCTCCTACCTCCTCGCGGTGCCGGACGGGCAACACTGTCGTGGGCAGTGCTGTGGGGGGAGGGCCATTGGCCTCTCCCCTCATGGCGTCTGTGACCACCACAGTGGCTAAACGGGGGCTCTGGACGGGTCCGAGGGGCTGGTAACCCCTCCACCTTTCAATTAATTACCACTACTAAACTACGATATAAACAAATACCTGTAAAAAATAAGCTTGTGCCGGAGGCCCCGGGGGGCCAGGCTTTTATGACGTCTCCTGGCCAAACCCCATTTGGCGGAGCCAGGAGATTGAATCTTCACCCTTGGGGCTCCTCCAGAAACAACGAAAAACCATTGCGGATGGCCACGTGGAATGTTCGAACCCTCACTGCGGAGGAGAGGCTGCCACTCCTCTGTCGGGAGCTGGACCGGTACCGCCTGGATCTCTGTGGCATTCAGGAGGTCCGGTGGACCGGCTCTGGCTCCTGCCACCATGAGGGGTGGACAGTCCTCCACTCGGGGCAGGAGACTGCCAAACAACAGGGTGTGGCTCTTCTTCTGAACAAAAGAATGAAGGGGGCGTGGGAGCGTGGCGGTGAGGTTTGGGAAGATATAAGCCCCAGGCTACTTTGGGCTCGCCTTCCCATCAACCGGAGGCGAGGAGTGGTGGTCGTGGTTACTTATGCCCCCACCGAAGACGAACATCCGTGGAGGGATGCAGGCACCGCCGATGAGTCAGAAGCCTTCTATAACCTCCTGTCACAGGTGCTGGCTAAAGTGGCCACTCGGGACAGAGTCATCTTGTTGGGTGACTTCAATGCCCGAGTTGGTCATGATGCTGGCACCTGGTCTGGAGTGATTGGAAGGAATGGGCCAGATCAGCTCAATAACAACGGTAGTAGGCTGCTAGATTTTGTGCAGCCCATAGGCTTGTAATTACCAACACGCTCTTCCGGCATCGGAGCATCCACACAACATCATGGATGCATGCCGGGTCCAAGCAAGAACATCTGCTGGACTACATAGTGACGGACCAGCGGATGCTAGCCCATGTCCTTGACACCAGGACCTACCGTGGAGCTGATCTGCCCTCTGACCATCGACTAGTCATCTGTAAGATGCGCCTGCCATTCTTCCACTCCGGTGGTGGGTGTACACCCAGGACCCCATTCCAACCAAAAGTGGCCTGGTCTCAGTTAGCTGATGAAAGTTGCAAACGAGAATTTCATCATCGCTTGCAGCTGGGGTTGGCATCGTCCCCCACTCCACCTGATGTCGAGGGTAAATTGGCGAGGTTTAAGTCTGTGATTCATGCAGCTGCAATGGCCTGCTTTGGGTACGTGGTCCAGACCTCCCCAGAAACCCTGGCTGACAGAGGAGGTGTTCAGGTTAATTGAGAAAAAGCGACAGGCTCACTCTCATCGGCTACAGCATCCCACGTCAGAGAATGAGGAGGTTTACCGCAGCCTTCGCTCGGAGGTTCGGAGAGCCGTAAGGCGCTGCAAGGATGGGTGGTGGTCGCGGGTTGCTGAGGAGATGGAGTCTGCCTCAGTGGCCCGTGATCACAAATCACTATTTAACTCCATCAAAAAAGTAACCTGCAGCGCCACACCTATTACCATCATTATGGGAAAAAACGGTGATCCAATCTCCGACCCCCAGGAACAGGTTTGCAGATTTGCTGAGCATTTTTGTGAGGTCCTGGGGGAGGGAAAATCTCTCAGCCAGGAAAACATCATGGCACAAAGTGGGGATAACCCTGCTGAGGCTGCGGTGTGAGTGGCTGGCTGAGGTGCCATCTGTTGAGGAAGTACTGAGGGCGATCCGGAGTCTGAGACCAGGAAAGGCACCGGGCAGAGATGATCTCCCAAGCGAAATGCTGAGGGAGGGTGGCGTTTGTGCACAGACTGCCCTATATGACATCATAACAACAGTCTGGACCGCTGGACGGGTACCTCAGGATTGGAAGAATGCCCTGGTGGTCCCCCTCTTTAAGAAGGGGGACCGCACAGACTGTAACAACTACAGGGGCATCTCACTCCTCAGTGTGCCGGGAAAGGTCCTGGCAAGGATTATTCAACATCGCCTTGCTAGGCACGCTGAGGAGAGGCTTGCGGAACCCCAATGCGGTTTCAGGAAAGTGCGATCCTGCACAGATGCCATATTTTCTGTCCGTCTGCTACAACAGAGGTGTAGGGAATTTCAACAAGACCTACATCTCTGCTTTATTGACCTGGTCAAGGCCTATGATACCATCAGTAGGCCTGGGCTCTGGGTTGTTCTTCGTGCTTTCGGAGTCCCTGACCCTCTGCTCTCGATCATTAAGGACCTTCATGATGGTGAGCGGGCCCGGGTTAAACTACGTGGCCGGGAGTCGGAGCCTTTCCCTGTACACCTTGGGGTGCGACAGGGATGTCCTCTGGCTCCCACATTATTTAACATCTATTTCGACTGCGTAGTTCGTGAAGCCTTCAATAGCTGTACCGGGGGAATTTCCATTTGGTACAGATATAATGGGAGGCTGATCGACGCCCTGGTGTGATCAAGGGATAGCTCCCTATTGGTCAACCACGTTATGTATGCCGATGATTTGGTAATAGCTGCTCATTCAGAAGAGGAGTTGGAGACGCTGCTGCTGAGACTGGAGCGTGCCACTAAGAGGTGGGGCCTTACCATCAGCCCCACCAAAACTAAGCACCTGCCTGGGTATTTTGTACCATCGGATACTCCACCCCCACAACTCCCAATCGGTAATGGGGAAGTTGTGGAGAGAGTGGAGAGTTTCCCATACCTGGGCAGTGTGCTTATGACCGGCTCCAGTTTATCAGCAGAGGTCTCACTCCGAATCAGTCGAGCGGCATATCTTTTCATCGGTTGCGTAACGCTGTGTGGAAGCTACCTGGTCTGTCGCTCCGCACGAAGCCTCAGGTCTTCTCGGCCACGGTCATTCCCTCACTTCTCTACGCTTGCGAAACGTGGACCCCCCTAATGGAGCATCTTCGCCGGTTGGAAACATTTAGGCTGGTCTGCCTACGATCCATCCTGGGTTTAACCAGGCTGGATTGTGTGAGGAGCTCACAAGTCCTTGAAAGATCTGGGCAAAGTCCCATCGGTGAGCTCCTCCGGCTGGCAAGGCTGCGTTGGCTGGGTCATGTAGCCCGCATGCCCAGCCACCGCATGCCTAAACAGCTTTTGTTCGGCCGAATTGAGGGGGCTAAATGGGCGCGGCACGGGCTAGAGAAGAGATGGAGTGATGTGGTACAGGAGGACGTGGAGCTGAGTGGACTTGCCGATGACTGGTACCAGCGGTGTCAAGATCGGCCTCAGTGGAGGAGGCTCGTGAAGGACGCTACTGGGAAGTTGGAGGCAGTCGCCCTCCAACAACAACGGAGGGCGGAGGAGCGACACTCACAACAACGAGCGGAGCGCCGGGTGGCTAAAGCACAGCAAGTTGGTACAGTAGGGGGCACAGGTGGTGCATCAGCCAGTCATCTCGGACATCTCGGTCAGTCGACCCGTGGCACCTGCTGGGTCTGCCCCGTGACCTTCTAGTCAGCAGGCGTTCGACACTGCACGTGGCCTCAAGGTGCACTTGGCCTGGCACAAGCGTCGTGGTGACGTCACCGCCACTTAGTGGTGAATGGTGGTTGTTGTTGTGTGTGTACGTGTGTGTACGTGTGTGTGTATGTGTGTGTGTTTACGTGTGTGTGTGTGTGTGTACGTGTGCGCGTATGCGTGCGTAGGTATGTCCATACACGTATGTGCATGTTGAACTTCTTTCACGCCGTACGTAACCAACCGTGCTGAACGAAGGTGCTCGCTAACAGCACTTGTCCTAAGCAGTCTGTCGAAGGCTACGTGGGGGGATTGTTGTGTATAGGGAGCGGTGGCGCTTTGGTTAGCACGCTGCTGCGCTACGAACCCGGTGACCCGAGGTTCGATTCCCGCTCGCACGGCCAACACCACTTCACGGTTGATCTGAACCGGTCCTGGAGGACTCCCCTAGGTCGACTCAGCCTCAAATGACCACCTGGTTACGTTGCGTGTTCACACGGTGGTATCGATGTTCAACTTCCGGTGCTCGCCACACCACCCCCGGGTACACCGGTGAGAGGAGAGGGGGGGGATTGGGGGGCCCTGGCCCCCCGCGTCTGCGCTGACCGCCCCCCCTCCCCCTGTGCCCAGCCTGACGCTGAAGATGGCGCCACGTGGCCGCGGCCTGGAGGTGCTGGAGCTGCGTCTGCACACCGACACGCTGCTGAGCGTGCGGCTGCACCGCGTGTCACCGCACCACGTGTCACCGCACCACGTGTCACCGCAGGGACACCCCCCGGAGCGCCGCGACTACCTCGGGGTCTACGTGGCCGGGCCCGGCCGCCTCTCTCCCAGCGCGCACGGCCTGCTGGGTAACCACAACTGCCGCCCCCCCCCCCCTCCCCTCCTCTGCAGTACGCACGGCATTCTGGGTAACTGCACCTCCAATCTCCGGCACCTGCTGCCCCCCCTCCCCGAAATTGTGCACGGCATTCTGGGTAACCACACCTGCTGC